TGCTGTGAGTTATTGTATCTGTAAATACTGTTTGCTCTTCTCTTTTCTTCTCTTCTTTTTCCTGTTTCTTTTCTGTTTCTCTTTTCGCGCTGAATCACTCTATCTGTAATAATAAACATACAATTTTTCATAAAATATAAACTGAAATATCATTTATTCTCTTATTATTCGTTCTCTTATTATTTGTATATTTCTTGTTTATATTTTTATATATTAATTTTAACGATATTTGTTTAATATCAATGCAAGAAGATATAAAAATTACAATTAAAATTTGAATAAAATTAGAGTATTAACGTTAAAATTACCTTTAATTTGATAAATGTACCACTTGTAAAAAAATACCACAACATCCGGAAGCCACATTAAAACTGTCTTTCTCCGAGGCGATTTGAACTAGCACTTAGCAGGTTCCACTGCAACATTAATTGTTTCTTCTTCAAACCCAATTTAGATTTCGATTAAGAACGTACAAGAAAGAACAAAGAAAGAATTAATTTGCACGTGTACATTTCGTAACAATATTTTCATATATATTTTACAATTACATCTGTATAAAATTTACATACACTTGTACTTGTACTTGTTCACATATATAACTATCTGTTTTTATTTATTTTCTATTTTATAATCTTAAAAAGACATTTAGCATTTAAATTCGATATGTAATTTAGTAAAATTTTATTAAACGAATTTAGGAGGATACATTCAGTTTGCATTTGATAAAAGGATTTGCTAAAAATATCGAGAAATAAAGAAAAAAACTTTGAAAAGTTTGTGAAGAAAAAGTAGTTTTTCCATTTCAAATTATATTATTTTTTTTTTAAATTTACATTCCTTCTTTGTCAGTCATAATAAAATTTTCACTTTCACTTTGCTGTACGTATATTAATAACCAAATTACTTTAGTTTGTACAGCATAGTTTGTACAATTAAGCAATTAGCACTAATATATATTTGATAATAGCACTCATATCATTTTCTTACAGATTTCGTAATTAATGAAAAGTTTCAACACGATCATACCGTAATCGTACGCAATCTGACTTGGCAATTCTGTCTAATTCCGTCACTTCCGAATATTAACGTGTCAAGTTTATGCGCGCGTATCGACATATATGACGTGAATTATTATCTTTCTCCCCTCCTGGCTGGCAATACCAGTTGTAAAGGATTTTTCTCCGGGCGTGGGATGCCGCCCACGTTCCTTCATTTATTTTCCTGTTCGGCATACGACGTAATCCTTGTGTTCTACTGGGACTCGGAAAATTAGAAATATTTGAGGAAATATTTGAACGATAACGAGAATGCGTACGATGAGATGCGCGCTTCGAGTCGCACAGGAAATCTGGTATCGTCTATCACAAACGTGGTTTCGAAATGTGTTTCCGCACAGTGATATTATCGCACACTGTTGATAATGCTTTTACCGTCGAGCTGCTTGAATTGTCGCACATTCGCCGAGTAAAATGAAGGAAATGTATGACATTCATACATCAGTCGTTCGATGAAATAGTAGTGTGATACGGTTATACGAAATTTCTATTTTGATAAAAGAGGAATTAATGCTGAGAATGAATGCAGATTATTTTATTTTGAAGGTTTTTACTGTTTCTATAGAAAGATTTAAAATTATATGTATGCAAAATAATTCTGTATGAAAGTTGGTATCAAGTTAAAAATTCATTTTTATTTAATTTACACGATTTATTCATTCGACGACTCATATATTACAACGTATTGGCGCATCTCGACACAGTATCGTGTTTTTATATGAGAATTATTCTGACATAATGAGGAATAAACGTGAGAATGAAGGAAATAATACGTAGCGCCATACTTCTCAAGGTAACGTGAATATAACAAGAAATACAATCTTGTGAACTTTCTTTCTTCAACTTACTACGTTATATAAATCGATGGTTACTTCTCAACGCAGTCGTGGTATATCTCGATATATAGCATTCCTACGAACTTTCAAAAAGCTTTTATCATAACATTAATCTCGTTTTATATAGCGTCGTAAATTTATATAGTTTTATGTCAGTCGATTAAAATCTTTTTTATATTACGTATTTATATTACGTTCTTTATATGTGCAATGCAAAATGTTCATTTGCTAATAAATTTAATTATGAAGACATGTACTAGCATCCTTGAGCACAGATTAATATAGCTTGTATCTGTTGTATGTCAAACAACTTTCATAATATTGCCGGGTAATTTCAAAGCCACGTTATCTCAAAGCATTATATTTTACACAGCGTAGAAAAATATAAAGTTTTATTTACAGCTTTTATTTAAAAATAAGATAATTAGAAGTATACTAGGCTGATCAAACATCCACATATATACACATGGCACGCATATGGAAAACCAAGAATTCAATATCTTTTATATTGTATATGAGCTACAATCTCTCGATGTATATCACGCAATCACACATGCAAGTTCGGGGGCTACGCACAAGTTTCTCACAGAAAATTCAATAAACTCACCGTGCCGTCTTGCTATCTGCTGCCATTGTTCATCGCGCGTTACTCGCGCTATCATATGGTTCACCGCGGTAAAGAGAACAAAGGAACTTTCAACGAAAGTGGCTATATTTGCTCGGAGAATCGATACTTCCATGGTGCATACCTCATAGCTCTCTCTCTCTCTCTCTCTCTCTCTCTCTCTAAGTCTTTTACACTTTTCTTATTACGTGTATGCGCCGCGCCATGAGCGCGTGTCGCGTTAAAAAAGGAATAAAGCTGCTGGAAAATACAGTCCAAAGAGCCATATCGGCACGCGGTGCAAAAAGAATCGAGATGTATATAAAGAAACATTGAAACAGTACATTGAAGACGTCCGATTGATTGACGCTTTCTTTCGAATTCTTTCCTTAGGGACGACTATCTGCCGCGAGTGGCAGGCGGCCACCCCCGTGAACAAAAAGAAAAAAATTGAGTGCGATTGTGTTAGATATTGATATTGTCGATTAATCAATGACGTTCGATATTATGCATGTAAACACCGAACATGCGTAATTACGGCTTATTAATAACGAAAACAACCGCAGCTTTCCCCATGGCTTTTCACCCGTCATGCATAAGCTTTGTAATTAAGTAATTTAATCCGCTCGATTACGCTGTTGCGCGCATAAATTATACAGAGTTTGCGTAGCACGATATTTCGCCATAGAGTTTTTTTGTAGGCACCTCGAAATCGATCGAGATACGATGCGACATTTATGTAAATGTGTTTTTGGGGTTTATCGATTAAAAGCGCAGGTAAATACGTTTTAGACGTTTATCGATAACGTATCAACGTGCGTTGGACGTTGGAAAATAACGAGGAGCGATATTCCATATGTCCAAACGCAACATGCGAATAGCGCTTACGTATCATTTAAATATCAAAAGATCCTACCGAGGTCGATGAAGAAGTTGCATTTCCTTCGAGATTATCAGAAAGTTTCTTCAAATTATGTCAATTTGCATAGAATATTTAGTATAATATATACTTAACGCGATAATGCGTAACTGAGATATCAACGCGATATCAACGTGATCAATTGTTACATGGAGAGACCTAGTCAACTTATTCAATCGACTTACAAACTCGACGCGACGAGGAACGACAAAGGAAAAAAAAAAAGAAGAAGAAGAAGAAGAATAAGGACCGTGAACTCACGTCATAATCCGCCGCTTGCAACAGGCTGCAGCTGGTCACGTCGACGCGGGACGCGCACGCATGCGGTCAATTGCTCTTGGCGGCTCGTGCTCTTCGGCAATTAACTGTCGCGCTAATTAGTACACGCTGCCGGCGCCGCGTTCCTGGTTTCCTCCCCCAGGTGACCGTTCGAGAATCGTACAGGTAGTCGCATCGGTCCGTTGGGAGCCGTGCGCCGAGATACCCACACCGCGAGCTGTCACGAGCTGTCGGCCGACAAGTGAGTGCTGATCGAGTGCTGTTGCTGCTGCTGTTGCTGCTGGTTGCTCTGTGATGTGATGTATCGTCGCCACTACCTCAGTAACTGACTCGCGCGCGCGCGACTCCACTCGGCGTCGGCAGCAGTGGGATGCGGGGGAAGAGCATCGGAGGGTGGAAGGTCGGTAGGTGGTAGGATGCGAGAGCTCTCCCCCTCGTTCCCGTATGGTCCGCAGGGATGTATCAAGCCGGCAAACATGGAGAAAGGAAGGGATGAAGAGGCGCGATGGAAGAGGGTGGTCGCGGGTGGGAAAGGCGTAGGAGCGACGCGGAGGGTGGAAAAGAGAGAGGGCTAATATAAAGTGAGGGGTAGTCAGACGCAACAGGCGCGGACATAGATAAAACGCGAACGGAGGCATATGTTACCTCGTTGTCGTCGTCCTCATCGTCGACACTCTACCATAATTGAAACTATCCCGCGCGTGTACAGACTTTTCAGCGTATCAGCCGCGGCTAGATAATCGTGCAAATTGAACGGCGCGTGGCGGCCAAGAAGTAGGACATTCTGCGATGAATACGGCGGTCTCTATACAAAACGCTATCGCGAGACCGGGTGGTAATTTTGTTAAAATGTTACGCCACACACACACACACACACACACACACACACACACACACACACACACACACACACACACACACACACACACACACACACACTACGT